CGATGGTGCTACACCAGGCGCGGGCCCGATCTACAACCCGTCCATCGGAGCAGGTGGCTTGGTCCACAAGTAGATTGCCTATGCGGATGAATTTCGGCTTAAAAACGAGTCAAATCAGTTGCAAAAATGTTCTTACCAATTGTGGAAATGCCATAGGCTAGCTTGGCGGTGTCCCAAATGCTCTCCGGTCGGAACACATCGATGTCCTTGAGTTCGGTGACAGGTATGTGGCCCGTACCCAGTGAAACCACAGCGGAAACGGGTATGGCCTCCGCCTCACGGCCCGAGCTGCGCAATGCCATATTGTATTCGTGTATTTCGGTCATGGCATCCAGCGTGGGATTGTTGGCAATGAGGCCGCCATCTAGGAAGCGTCCGAATGCGCGGAAGTATGACGGAGCCGCTCCAGTAGCTCGTGCTGCGCGCCACACCAACTGTTCGTGCGGCGGCGGCGGTGGAATGCGACGGTTGGCTGGGGATAGGATAGGAGCAAGGAATATAATATATATATTTCTGATCGACATATTCCCTTAGATGCTACTCACTTATGGATGTGACTATCCCCAGGATGTCGCTGGCACTGGTATAGTTGCGGAAGAGATGTAAATCCACTGGCTTCCGATCCGCCATCACACCGGTGACCATAATCTTTGGATGCTTGATATCCGTCATTACATTAAATTCGCCGAGATTATCCTTTAGTATGGTCTCGAAGTACTCACTGGCGTAGGGTCGGGAGCCCACAAAGCACTGCTCCTTCATGCGCAAATAAAGACCCATGCACTGGCGCATTGTCTTGCCGCAGCCCAAGCCCAGCGCCAGGATACCGCCCGTGCTTGTGCCGGCAATCCAGTCGAACATGTGTATGATGGGGGTGCGCGAAAGTTTCTCGATTTCGAGGAGCATTTGGACCAGGACAAGGCCACGAATACCGCCGCCATCCAGGCACAACAGACGTCCGCGTCCATAGGGCTTATCGCCCACCTCCGCCGCAATTGGCGACGTCGGAGATGGCAGCTGCTCTGGGCTAGAAGGTGGTGTGGCCGCTTTATTCGCCAAACTGCCTGACGAAGTGTCCTTTTTCACCTCGTCGGCGTTCACTTTAGTGGTGAACATGCCCAGCAAGGCGTCCATGATGCTCTGACCCTTTAATTCCTTCTCCGTATCGACTACCACCGGCACCCTGACGTATAGAAAAGATAAATTATCCGAGCTGTATATTAGTTTCCATTTTCACGACTCACTGTGGAGGCGGCTGCTTTTCCATCAAGCCATTGGCCGCTGCGCCCAGGAAATTGCCAACCATTTGGCGGCTAGTGGTAGCCAGCATATTCTCGATATGTTCACGTTGCTCCACAGATTCGGGCGCCTCTGGCGGTATGCCATTGTAGGTGCCCTTGGCATTGCAGCCGGGCGGACATTTAGAGCCCGATTCGGTACAGCGTTTGGCGCCCACCGAATGGAGTATGTAGAGTATCTCGTCCTCCTTGTTGCCACTGGCGTCGTTGCCGACCATGTGGCGCGGGGTCTTGCCATCCTTGTTCTTTAGATTGATGTCGCATCCAAACACCACCAGGCACTGGACGATCGGCACCAGCTTCTTTTCGATGGCAATATGCAGGGCCGAGTTGCCTTCTTTGTCCAACACATCAATGTCTGCATCATGGGCGAGCAGCGTGACGACACACTCGAAGCGATTCCTGGCCACCATCACGTGCAGGGCAGTGCGGCCATCGAAGTTCGTGGAGTTGACGTCACACCCCTCCATGATGAGGGCGTGCAGGGTTTCGCGTGAGGAGCACCAGTGCAGCGGTGTGCCGCCGTACTTCATGTCCTGTGTGTAGAGCTTGCTCACGTTGGTGCGCAGAAAAGAGGCCACCGAGGTGGGTGTCGAGCTCTTGTGCAGCTTGGTGATATTTTTGGCATTTAGGTTGACATCGGCACCGGCCAGGAGCAGGGCCTTCACACACTCCGGCTTGTCCGTGACGCAGGCCACATGCAGCGGCGTGTACCCATCCGAATTGAGGTGGTTCAGGTTCACGGTGCTCTTGTCGGTGAGGAGCTACGGAAGATTAGGGTTAAGTGATGGTCAGAAGCATCGATTGGCTGCTGCTACTCACATTGATGATCTCCTTGGTGGTGCTGGCTGCATAGTGGAACACCGAATTGCTGTTAATGTCCAGGTGCTCCAGTTTGCTTAGCGGCAGCAATGTTTTGACCATCTCCATGTGGCCCTGCTTGATGGCCAGCTGGAAGGGCGACATGAGGGAGGTGTGATCGGCTTGGTCCACGCACTGCAGAACTTTGGGGTTGCTGATATATTCCACCAAATTGAAGTACGCCACCAGATGAGCGAGCGTCCAAGACGGATTCTCAGTAAGAACATCGCAGGCCTTCTGCAGGCCATTTACATTGTAGAACTAAGGAGCAGATTGCAGAAAAAACATCATAATTGAAGCTTCTTTTAGCGGAAAGCACTTTCTCACCTCCTTGACCATGCTGACAAACACGGGCAGACGTTGCTGGAAAGCATTGAATTTCTCCGCGGCCTCCTGCTGCTGCGGGGACCGATACAGACTGAAGGATGACGTGTTCGAGTCTGAGGTTAGACGCTGAAGAACAATCTCGTAGACGGGGCGCTTTTCATTGCTGTTGTAAGGCGGCGCAAAGAGCATCATGGCATCATCGCGAGCTAGCACCTGGAGGGTTCCTAGGGATTCGCTCTTTATTTCCAAAACCTTGTTTGGTGGCTGGTCTCCCCCTAGCAGGCGCTGAAGAACTGTTTGGGGGAAAAGGGTTCAAGAATCATGGATAAGAGAGAGATTTCCGAAAGAGACGAGGGAACTAGGGACACCATCTACAAGCTACACAATCGTCTATCCTACACACTTATGAGACGGTCACAGGGATATGGAAACTTAATGAGAGCACAATACCAAAGCCGGAAGCAATCGCTCCAAAAGCCAGCCACGACATGGTTCAAGAATGTTGGTCTTTCGGCTGAATCACCTTCGGATGCTGATTGAACTTTGAATCTGTTCGTATGTGTGTGCGTTAGAGTGCGATAGTGCTTGTTGGTTACTTTGAATGTGGATGTGATGAACCTGACAGAGAAACATTTGGCCAATTGTTAGTTTACAAGTGTGCATTTATGGGTTGTTGAGGGTGGTGTGGTGTGGTGGTTGGGGGATTACGAAAGGCGGCCAAGAAATCAATAAAACAGCCGACGACAGCCCCGTCAGATGTCTCACAGCAGCGTCAGGCATCAAGCATCAGGCGTCCGCATCAGCCAATCGTGAGTCAACAACAAACAAGCCACAAACGAGATCAAGCGATTATGCGCCACATATTGCGCCTCATTACCCGCCAATTGTTGTTGTTGTCCGCCCCCACCCACAAGCCTCGTATCAGCACCATTTTTCGTGCATATCCACTTTTATTTCTACTATCGCTTTTATCAATAATGTACCCTTATGACTGTTATTACGGTGCACTTCTCCGTGGTTTGCTGCTTGTTATCCAAGTTTTCGTTGGTGAAAATGATGCGCAAATGAAGTGTAACAGCAAAAACAACTTAATACAAGATATAGCTTACAAATCAAGCTTTAAATATCAATACACTGACCGTTGAACATTGTACAGCTCTGCTTGGAATCTCCTTTATTTTAATAGTTCGTAGTTCTTTCTGCTGTTATTTTTTTTCACTTCAAATTTTGTTCACGAAAAAAGTGAGATGGAAGCAGTGTGACCAGTGTGACCGCGGATTTATCGTTTATATATGCCGTCCGACCCTCAGAAATATACCAAAATGTACCGTCTCATTTAAAAAATATATCGTAAATATACTGACGAATTCCAGTTCTATTTTACATATTCCTCGTTTTTGATATTCCCTGGAATATTACTAGCTATATGGAACATTTAGCCATGCCCACATAATATTATCCGATTAGTGAATCTATTTTCTAATTGGCTGGTTTATTTAAAACACTTGCTTTAATTGGATTTCTATATAACGTTGAAAATAAAATTTAATAGATTGATGAAATTGACAAAATATACCGTGGTCTTCGGCCCTGGCGTTCGTCTACCACCGCGTCATCATCTCAACGTAATACGTTAACGTTATTGGTCAATATTATATTAACTAAATAGGGTATACAAATTCCCATACTACCGGTTGACAAGCAACAAGTGTTCAAATTCCAATAACGTGTAAGAAATGGCGTGACATTCCATACTCACGTTACATTTCATACTCACTTAAGTTTTATGTTTTGCCCTTTTTTTTTCAAATCTTATTTTAGATACAATCAAATTAAAGGAATCATTTGTATTGTATCCAATCTTGTAGAAAATGGAATCATCAGTGGGATAAAATTCATTTTAGCGCAGCTTAGGTGAAAGACAATGGGGTTTTTTTTATGCAAAGATGAAGGATAAGATATACCCACAAGAGTATAATATAATTATAATTATTTGTATTAATTTCGGTGGTTTAACTCAAGTTTTTATCCAGTTAAAATAAAGGGGGTATAAGTGGGCTACGTTAGTTTTTTCATCGGTATATTTACGGTGTTTTTGAAAATGAGACGGGATATTTTGGTATATTTCTGTTAGTCAGACGCTCATACTGCAACGAAAAAAAGAGTCGTAACTTTGAAAGGGGTATGGACAATAGGCAAAAACAGCCAAGGCAAATTGCAAGGTTCGTACAAAGCTCACCTCGTTTGTGAGGACTATATACCTTGAAGACAAAATCGCCTTTTCGTCTCCAAGGTATATTGAAAATGGGGTGGATTTTAGCTTGCATGCGTTGCATTTTCTGGCCGTTCTGCCTGTTGTCCATACCCCCTTTTTCCACCATTTATGTAGCGAATGTGTAGTTGCCATGTAATAAACGCCGTTTTTTCCTTCCATTATGTAGTACCTGTTATATTTTTTTACGGACTTTTTTTGTGAGAGAAATAAAAAAGTGCGAAGTGAATAATTTTTGCGGGCAATAAATTAATCAATCTAAATTACTAGATTTATAGTAACGAAAGTGAGCCACGCTACTCCGCGTCTCTCCGCCCTCTGCGTCTTCCTCGCCTGACTGCATACCGAATTTGAGGCGTAAATTGCATTTCAATTGCAGTTAACAGCAGTGGCCCGCACCAGACAAGTAAGTTGGGTTAAATGTCAGGCACAAGCACGGCACGTAGCAGCAACAGAAGCAGCAGCGGTGGTAACAAAGGCTAAGCCAGAACCAGGATAGAAGAAGGGCGTTGTTAAAGCCACATGCGATGCCGAACGGCTATAAACGGGGGCTAGCGCCCAGGTGGGTGGTAAGTGTGGCAGTGGCAGTGGCAGTGGCCGTGGTGGAGGCTGGTGCCCAGTGGGTGGCGACCCCCCCAAGGGCACGCCGACCACAGCTGGGTGTTGGCGGTGGTGTAAGTGTTGCTGCGACCTGTGCTATTATAATCTGGCGAATTTCGCGATTCCAGTATCTGGTCAGTTACTGCCGTCGCCGTGATTCACCATTGTCCAGTTGTCCATTCCAATTCCAGAAGTATTGACGTAATTATGCAAGTAAGCTATGTATATTTAAATCAAATTCCGTTCTCTGTGCCTCATTGCAGCCAACGCGTGAGATCAGCCAGCGCCGAGATAAAATGCAGAACCAGCCCAGCCCACAGTTGCCATGCAAGGGCATTTTAAAGACTTCTCGCAGCTTCGACAAGTCAGGCGCCAGGTGAGGGACAAACACGCACACATACACACTACCTATGACCTTTTCCTGCCCAAATGCTAAGCCGTTGAATTTCTTGTAGTTTTCGAAAAAGTGCCAAGTTCGATGAGCTGAACGTGCTGCAGACGTTCCATCCGGCGGACAAGGACTACGGGCATATGAAAATCGATGAGCCAAAAACCCCATACTACGAAGAAACCAGGGACGAGCTGGACACAGAACTACTGGTGGAGAAGTAAGCCTTACCCTTCTAGTTAAAGTTTATCTGATGTTTATATAAATACCTACTCAAATTTTCCCAGACTGCGCATAGCGGCCAGCTCACAACAGACTTCCGAGAGCATTGAGGACGAGGGTTCTTCCGGCGACGACCTCCCAATGAGCGAGGAGGAGAGACGTAAGAATCAACTTCTACTTAAATTACCCAAAAATGTTTATTGTTTGTTATTACAGAACGGCGCCGTGAGTTCGAGCGGCGTCGCAAGGCCCATTATCGGGAATTCGAGGCAGTTAAGCTGGCCCGAAAGCTGATACAGGAGGAAGACGACGATGACGATGAGGATAAGAATGCCGTCGACACCTCCGACAGCAGACCGTCGGGTTCCCAGCAAGGCTCTTCCACCTCCAGCCGATATGCAAGCAGTTCGGCGAAAAAGGCCAGCTCAAATGCAACAAAATCCCCGTCTACCAGCAGCAACATGGACCTGGAGCCATCAAACAACTAGAAGCAATATCACTAATGTTTACCTAGCCAACGGCCCAGGCCGAAGTTGACGTTCAATATTGATGGCGGCAGCTCATCACAAAAAAAAGAACAAGAAAACATTTAAATGAAAAAAAAGAAACGAAATTATATCAAGTGCTGTGGCCCCTGAGTGAGAAGTGGACCGGAATGAGGATGGGAACGTGAGCGAGATCGACAAGGAGAAGGAGAAGGGGAGCACTCGTGATTAATTGAATTTGCTTATTGCATTGCAAACCAACAGCAAAACCGTCGCGAAATGTTTGTCATCAAGTAAATCACTCACACACACTCACATACAGTCAGACACCACAAATCAATGGAATTTTTGCCACGTGATCAATGATTATAGAACAAGAGCAAATATAATGATCGCATGCCCATCAGGCCCATCGCGCTGCTGCTGCTGCTGCTACTGCAGCAATTCAAATTGTGGTCAACATGTTTTCAATTTGTAGCTCCATTTGCATTTAGTTTTCCATAAGAGTACAGACGGGGATGAGGATAAAAGTGCCACAAGTAAGCCAACGCTCGCCCGAATCGGATCGGATCGGATCGCATGAGAGTGGATGCGATGCGTGAATACCATTTAGAGTACCAGTTGTTGTAACTAACGTTGACATTGATTCGGCCTTACGTTTAGTAACTTATTAATACAATACTATTATGATTACAATTAAGTTTTAGCCATCAAATGCGAAAGTTTCAATAAAACAGAACCCAACCCAATCGAAAAGGACGATCCATCTTTCTTCTCGTCGCGAGTATTCAGAAACTTTCCGTTTATTTTAGTATAGTTTTCATTTCTCATATTAGTTATACATCATCGTAGTGTATGATTGATTCGGTTTGACATTGCTGGTCTTAGTAATTGGTAAAGTCTGAGAGTTGTGGCTGCCACCAGCCCCGCGGTCCGGACCGACCCCCCTGCACCGCGCCAAGGCCACGCACAGAGCTCGGGCCGTGCACATACAGCAGGCAATGGCATCCTCATACTGTTTACCGCCGGTGGATTGGTCTCGGGCCCCCTGCTCTATGCTGCATCCGGAGGTGATGTTTTGGAGGGGGGCACTCTGCCAATCCAGTGCATGGGGCAAGCTGTATTGCCGGCCTTTGTGGGGTGGGAAGATCGGTCATTCCGGGGTCTGAATGGGGGGTCTGGGGCACTTTTCGGTTGATTTCGTTGTTTTCATTGATGACTGATGATGACTCACAGAACTGATTGGCGTTGTAGCTTCATCTTGTAGTATAACTTTCTATGCGGGGGTTATTTGACGGTTTTTTTTTCATGTGCTGGTCGACCATTTGGTCATAAAGTATATCGTATATATATATAGTATAGATATAAGCAAAAAAAAAAGCATGCAAATTCAAACAATAAACAATAAGACGCCTAGCCGGACAGCTCCTAAGTGTACTCTTTTTCAAGGGCTGAGCCAAGATCTTCGCCTCGGGCTGCACTCCTTTCGTTTTACAATATACAGTTAGTGGGGGTGCTTGCCCTAGGCCAAGAGGTGGCGCCGAAACGGGGCCTTAGTCTTAGCTATCCGGCAGGATCCACGTTATATATATAATAGAATATAATAGATTAGTAATGCCTTAGGCTCTAGAACAAGGTTTCAATCTCATTTTCAGTTTCCGTCTTGGGTCGCATCGTTTCCGTTTCATTTGCTAGTTAACAGTGTAACAATTATGTTACATATCTTAGAATCTATCGCTATATGGTTTACTATATAGTTCTCAACTTCTGCTATCTTAGCCATACTATATGCACATGCTCCAAAATATGTGTATATAGTATGGGTACATAGAGAATCATCTCTTCCTCCTTCGTTATCCAATGCCCTGGTTTCTTGGTTCTTGGGTCATTCCTTTTGGGTCATTTATGGATTAAGGGGCGGTTGCAGTTCCAGTTCGGTATGTACTTTACCAATGGGTCCATTCCGTTCTAGCCGGAGGGGATCCATTGTTTGGCGAGTGGAACACAGCCGCTCTTCTGTAGTAATGTATTTCATCTACTCAGGGGTTCTACAGACCCCTGGCAATCGTTTCGTTATATATGATATATAGATATATGTATATATGGCGTCGTTAGTGGTCATTTAAGATTAGTATAACAATTGTATATGTATATTCTATAGATAGTGTGGTTTGGTTCGTTAGTTTCTCGTTTTAGTAACATATACATTTGTGTGATCGTTTCTAGTGTTATATTATGAAGTGGGTTCCATTGAATTTATGTTCTTTCTGCTCCTCTCCTGCTGCGTCTCTTACAACCAACCGATTCTCCAGACTTAGGCGAACATGTGTTGGGTGCCTGGGGGCACCTTGTAGCTGGGATAGGCGTTGTTCAGCTGATGCTTGGCAAAGAAGGATGTGTAGTCCTGACGAAAGTTGTTCTAGTAAAATTTGATGTTTTGGGGGGGGTTTTAGTAGGGTTGAAAGGGGTGGGAAATCTTACCCTATTTACTTTTCTGGGACGGCAGACAGGGCCCAAGGCCAACTGGCGACGTTCCTCATTCTCGCGTGCAGCCGCTTCCTTGTACTCTGGTGGTGGCCATTTCAAATCTCCGCGCAATTTGCTGCCTCCTGTAGAGGGATTATCAAAAGATTATACATATATGTGAAAGGATCTATGGGGCTAGTTCTTACCCTGATAGCTGACGGCGGCAGGCTGCGAAGTGTAGACTGGCGCAGACTGCTGCGAGACGGGTGCCTCTTTACGCAAGGTAATGATGCCGGGACTGGCGCCACGATAGCCAGCGTCCTGGCCAGCAAAGGCAACGGGCACCTGGTGCTGCTGCTGCTGCTGCTGATCTGTCTGATCCTGCGAATACGGCAGTTGCTGCTGCTGTTGTTGGGGCTGCGAATAAGAATTGTACTGGGGTTGAGCATAGGTCGAGCCACCGTTTTGCTGTGGATAGTAGGACGGTTGTTGCTGCTGGTGTTGCTGTGGTGGTGCCTGCTGATAGGGTGACGTCTGGTATGATGACTGCGCAGGCGCCTGATAGGGAGCCTGGGCCTGAGCCAGAGGCTGAGCCTGGTATTGCTGCTGTTGCCACTGAGGTGCAGGCTGTTGCTGCTGCTGCTGTTGCCACTGAGGGGCAGGTTGCTGGGATGCAGCTGGCTGCTGTTGTTGCCACTGAGGTGCCACAGACTGTGGCTGTGGCTGTGGCTGCTGCTGCTGCTGCTGGCTACCGTATTGTGGCTGCTATTGGTTCAATGGTGCATTTGGTGGTTCGTTGGTGCATTTGGGTTTCGATCACGGGTGTTAAGGATGTTGTAGATGGGTGTGTGGTTGGTTGGTTGGGAGATGTAAACGACACACACAGACGATGTGGAAAGAGAGAGAATATATGTTCGAGATAGAGATAGACATATAGACCATAGTTATAAGATGGAAGTTAATATCCGATTCAGGTTAGTGGTCAAGCGGAAGGGGATTAGATGTAGAGATTATATTGTGCGAAGTTTTACAGCTGAAAGTCGCAGAGAAGAAGCAAAAGCAGAATAGTAAGCCATTTGTTAACTATAGTTACAGCTACAGAAAGCGATTAGTGGAGCAATAAAGGGCATGCAGAAGTCGGTGATTACAGTGATTACACAAGGAAACCGTTGAATGCACAGTTTAGTAAGTGTCTACGATAGATATAGTAGGGATATCAACGCGTTCTGTACGATAGAGGGATAGAGAGAGACGGCTCAGCAGCGGCAAGAGAGTTCTAGCATCAAAGTATCCATTCATTCATCGAATTCCTTTCTGTACCTGCTGTAGATAGGCTGGTCGCTGCTGCTGCTGAGGGGCTGATCCCTGGTAAGGTGCTCCTCCGGCCGGAGTGTAGTCATGGTGCGACTTAGGCAACGGTGCACGAATGGGCTTCCAGCCACCGCCCGTATTGTCCAACGCCATCAGGGGCTCCTGCGATGGCTGCCTCTGGTAGTTCGACTGATAGTTGGGATACGCATCGGAAGCAGCCGCTGGAGCTGGGGCCTGGACAAGCTCCCTCGAGGATTGTCTATTGAACTGCGCCTGTGTGTACTGCACGGGCTGCTGATCATGGGGATAGCTTTGGTCTGGGTACTGAGAGGGAACCGGACCCTGGGCAGGTGTGGAACCGTATTGGAATTGCTGCTGAGGTGCCTGTGCCTGTACCTGTGGCTGAGTGGCTCGTGGCTGAGGTGTTGGAGTGGATCGTGGCTGGACGTTGTTATAAATGGGACCCTGAAAGTTAGGTCAGTGCGTAGTTATGTATAGGTATGTGCTAGGAGTGTATAAGTGTGTGTGTGTGTGTGTCTCTGTGTAGGAGTATGGCTATGTACATCAGTGGAGACGGAGACGGAATCGGAGACGGAGACACTAGTTGTGACAGTTGCAGATACAATTATATTTACACAAGTCTTGACTACTATATATGTACAATCCAGGAATTAAACAGCTACGGATATCGCAAATTACCTGAGCTGGAACAGCACTTGGCTGTGGAGCAGCTGCCGTTGGCTGGGGATAGTAGCCGCCAGCTCCGGGTGCCGGGCTCTGGGTCTGCGGTTGCGGAGTGAACTCACGGATAATGCGCTCCTCCGAGGCGGGTGGCCAGGCCACGCGCTTATAGCCTGCAGAAATGGGAGGACGGATACACCAATTAGAATGAGATTCTGCTGCAGCAGCTGTTTTTTCGTGGGGGGCATTCATATAGGGGCTGGCGGCGGCTGTTGCAGTGTAAAACATTCAACAAAATGCGGTCAAACGTGGGCGTTGCTTGGCCTTGGATACATGGTGCAAGACAAACAATTTGAAAATGATTTAAGCCAATTAAAATTATACAATATACAATGTGCAATGCTCGCAGTTCGCAATTCGCACAGAGAGACGGAGAAGGAGACCGTAGGAGAGGGAGGGGGAGGGGGGAGAGTCCCGTCCCCGCAGATACACAGATGCTGCTGTCATTGTGGCTAAATTTAGACGATGAAAACGAGTCGAAAGCAAGGAATGTGACATTACTCATAAGGTGATGATGTTGCCCCAGCCACATGCAACATGTTGCCAAGGCACACCAGCCACATGACTTATCTATATCTATAGAGAGAGAGGGAGATAGCGAGTGTGTGTGTGTGTGTGTGTTTACCCTCCAGATTCTTGTAGTTTTGGTTAATGATCTTCCACTGGGCACCCATCGTTGCTGCCTGGCTATATAGTATGGCTATCTGTATATTCGGTTCGGATCGGGTTGGATCGAGATCTCTTTTGCGTAAGAATAAAATTATTCTTGCGCAGATATCAAAAATAACAAATACAGATATATAGCTTCTATATGTTGTAGCTTTTTGCAGCTATTTTTTGACTTCTTGTCCGCGAGCACCACACACAAAAAAAATTCGGCCAGTCGTTCGATCGGGGGTGAGAGCGTTCGTTATATAACCCCCTCAGATATAATCAATTGCTTCGATTTGGGAATTGGGGAGACACCACAGGAAATATCATATAATTCGCTTTCTTTCTTGGATTATTTGCTCTTTTTTGGCAAATTGCAGATCGATACGGCGCGCGTTTCGTTTGGGTTTTTTGTTTTTTTGTTTTTTTCGGATCGATTTCGTTGAAAATGAAGAATTAAAACAGATGATCGGCAGAAGGGAACAACAAACACCGTGAAAATTTCGTTCGATTTGCGGTTACGGGATTCGGATTCTGCCCAATTTAATTTCTATTTTCTATTTGGCTATTTGCTAATTCGTTGATCGTTCGCGCTGGCCGCTGATCGTTCGCGATATGTTTGCCTTCGATGTATGCTACTAAGTGAGGAGCCAGCCAGAGCCAGAGCCAGAGCGATGCAGACAGAGGAAATTATTGTTAGCCAAAATCGAGAGCCGAATCGAAATGGCCAAGATACAGATTTATCTGCATTCGTGTGGGTTGCGGGGAGATACAGATCTCTGAGAGAGAGAGAGAGAGAGAGAGAGAGATCTCCTGAATGGGAGAGTGGTCGAAAGTGGGCGAAAGTGGTGGAAAGTGGGGGGAAAGTGGGTGGAAAGTGGGCAAGTGGCGGCTGCTAATGATGCTGCTGACTCTTAGGGTTACCGTACCGTACCGTACCCTTCCTCTGGCTCTGCTCCTGGCCCACTTCTGGCATTGTTTACACCTTCGATTCTTGTGATTTGTGGGCGCACCTTGAAATGCTGCCACTGCCTATACATATCTGCTACATTTGCTCACTCACTCACTCACGGCAGCCGATCTCAAGGTGTCTGGCTATACCTATATATGTATGTATATATATGTACATGTATATGCATATACCTATATAGATATATATGTAGGTATATATACTTCTACGTGTATATCTATTCGTATATGCTTGGATGCCTGGCATATTTCTGCGCTGCCCCCAGATCTTTATAGATTGCTGAGCAATACTTTGGGGCTGGGTCGCTGATGACTGTCTTTTACCTATAGATATGATGGTGTTTATTGTTATGGCGATCTGTCATGCCTGATCCATCTACTTAACCATCCATCCATCCATCCATCTATCCAACGCATCTGTCCCTCCCATCCTATCCCAAAGATCTTGCGGATTTAGTCTGTGACTCAAGGGTGACTGCGCGGACTACCCATCGCTAGATTGGCTAAAATTAAACGTCTGTCATCTTGGCCCAACTAACAAATCTGTTTTTAAACGTATTCTCACAGGTGTACGACACAAGTTGGCTCATTAAATTTATTAGCAAACTTGTAACTCATCTGTCTGCTACATATCCCCATATACCATATACCACATCCACATACAATATGTATGTGCATACGAGTGTCTTCAATTATTTTGGCATAATGTTTGAATACTCATACGGGTATAGTATATTCGATACGATACGATGTGCTAGCCGCTCGTTAGCCACACAACAAATTCGCTTTGATGGCCGTCACACGTCACAGATAAAATTTCTGATTCCCATAGAAGTCAGTGCTATAAGATACTACTCATAAAACTAATCAAACGAGCTATGTATGGTACGGAATGGTTTGGAAATTAATGATAATGGTCTGGAAATTGGAAAATTTTTATCATAGAGGCCCTTGAGGAGTATCGAAAATGATATACAAGTATATAGTCGAACAATTTTGATTCTCGGAAAGATTCTCATGTGATTTTGAATCCCAAACATTCGTGAAAGATTCACACAAAACCGAATCATTTTCCTATTAGTCAGACACGGAACCACAGACAAAGAATATTATGACACAGATCTACGAAGGAATATATAACATCACACATAGGAAAACGGCAAGGAAGTGGGGGCGGGGGAGATTCCCACGCACCTTCAATGCCCAGATAGGGGCGTGGCGATACATTATCGAACGATCGATTTACATTGAAATCCCGCACGGATGGCTGTCGGGACGGCTCCGACTCGTCCTCGCTGGCCGCCAGCGATCTGAACTTGCTAGAGTCCACTGAAAAATCAAAAGGTGATGGTTGACCCCGGGCAGACCGGGGTGTGGCTGGGGGCGTGGAGGCCAGCAGTGAGGAGGAGGCAACCATGCTCTGCTGCAGGGGTTCCGTGGCGGTGCGGACGAGCAGCCCGATGTTGTGACCCTCCAATTGGGGGACGTGCGAGAACTTTGACTCCAGAGCTGTGGGAGGAAGTGGCAATGGCGATGGCGAAGGCGCGGGGGGCATCTTGCCAATCACCGGATTGAGCCCAAAGGGTGAGCTGGCCCGGTGCGGTGCCTCGATCAGTGGCGCCGGATACTTTCGGGAGGACAGAGGACTGGGCGATCTACTCCGCTGCCAGGTGATCTCCGCTGCCGGAAGATTCAAACGCAGAGGAGGCGGTGGAGGAGGTGCAGGAGGAGGAGGAGAATCTGGGGCTCGCGTGGTCACAATCTCCACGAAGCTGCGCTGACGCTGCAGTTTCTCCGGCTGCTGGTTCTCGGTTCTCTCTGACTTCTCCTCCGCACTCTGGGTGTCCTCCCAGGAGATCTGGCGGGATATGTACGGACTCCGTATCTCGTAGGTGGCCTTGTAGTTCTCCATGGGCTCGTTGTGCAGGTTGGCGATGCGCCACTGGTCCGCCTTCGTGAGCTTGCTCCAGTTGTTCGGGGAGTAGCGAAGCTCATTGCAAACCGGGCAGCAGATGCTGTGATCGGTGGTGGTGGTATCCTGATGGGAGCATTGCTCATCCTTTTCCTTATCCTCCTTCTGTTCCTCTTCCTTGTGGCACTGACTCTCTGGCTCTGCGTCTGGTTTTGCGTCCTGCTTTGTCTCTTGCTGGGGCGGTTTTCCCGTTGAGAGCTGCTCGTAGTTGGCAATCACATCGGACACATGTCGGTACTCCGCATCTTCCGCATCTTCCGCATCTTCCGCATCTTCCGCATCCTCCTCCTCATCCTCGATGACAACGTGTTGAGCTTTGACCGCAGCTGGCGTCGTCATGTGTTCTACTTGCAATAGTTTCTCCAGATCCTGCTTCTGATGCTGTTCCATCGCCAGATCCGGCTGTGGCTGCCCCTGTTGCTTGTCCAGTGCCAGGGCGATTCTGTGCAGGTCCTCGAGGGCTCGTTCCACAATCGGCACATTCTCGGTGATCTCTTCGTTGGCCGCCTCCGCTATGGACTCTTCTTTGGCCACGCTGCCGGGTCTTCCCGATGCACGGCAGTAGATCTGACGGAGTATCGCTTGCAGAGGACTCTCCACGGCCAGAATGGGCGACTGGCGCGAGGAGAACATGTCCCACAATTCGTTGTGGCCGCTATCTGGTCTGATCTGCAGAGATGCTGGAGCAGGAGGCGGTGGTGGTGGTGGTGGAGGAGGTGGAGTGGCAGTGACAGCGCCTTCGACTGTGGGCACAGGAGTGGTTTGGACACTCCGTTGCAGTGCCATCTTAGCGTTTTCCATGTAGGTATCTATCTGACGCAGGTGCTCCGCTATGGACTGCTGTATGTGGGCATACTTTGCTTCCAGCTGCGAAATCTCCACATGAGCCTCGTGTTGCTTCTCCGCCTCTGATTCCGTCGCCGTTTCCGTGCTGTAGACTCCGCCCTGGCGACGGGCTTGCTTGGCCCTGGCCACTGATTCCTCGCCGGACTTGGGCCGCATCTTGGGAGGGACTGGCATTGGCGGCGGTGGTGGAGGTGGTGGAGTGGGAGCACTGTTGCTGTTGGTTGTTGTCCTGGCCACACTGGCCTGCCGCTGGAGCAGCTTGATGCCACTGGTTGCGCTTACATAGGTGGTGCCACAGGGAGCATGGACATTGGATGCATCCTCCATCTCCTGCTGGTCCTGCTGCAGGTAGGTGCAGGCGTCGTCGTAGATCTGCTGGGCACTCGGCTGAAGCTGAAGATCGCCCGATGCCTCAACGCGGACTGGTATGATGCGAGTGGCGGCGGTACCAGCACCCAGCTCCTGGCTCGGACTCTGACTGGGACGGCCGGTGCCGGTGCTGGTGCTGGCCAGGGCCAGAGCCATCTGCTGCTGCCGCTTGACTGCCAGGCTGTCAATTACCGCTGGTGACTTTCTTGGCAAGCCCTCGTTCTGGGCGGCAGCTGCTTGGGCTTCTCTGGGTATCGGTGGCAGCGGAACGGCCTCCAAGTCCACCTCTTGGCTGGTAGCGACCTTGGGCTTGGGCTTGTCCTCCTCTTCGCTATCGGCCTCGTTATCGTAGGAGATCTTCACTTCGGTGGCTAGCTTGATGCATCTGCGCTGGACCTTCGGCACCTTCGTGGATCGTGGCTTGGGCGGCGGCAGCTCTGGAGCTCCAGCTGCTGCCACCGTCCGCTTGCGGGAGCGTCCGCGGTCCAGGGAGTAGGCCTGTCGCTTGGGCCTTGGCCTGTAAGGAGTGATCGTGAGTGTTGTGGGCGTTGTGGGTCGCTTGTGGGCCAGCTGCTCGTAGTACTCGCATCGGGGGGCCACCAGACCCAGATCTACATCGGCTGCTTTGGTCTCCGGGGCAGAGAAGCCCTTCGCAACAGGCGTCTGGTGGTAGACCTGGGCCAACTGCAGTTCCGTGGTTCTAAGAGGTGTGATTGGACGCTCCTTGGAGCCCTCTCGTTGCCTCTGTTCGCGCACCTGCTTGGCCGTGGGTTCGATGATCATCGTCGGACTCTGGAACTTCTCGCGCAGTGCCTCAATGCTGTGCGAGGCACAAGAGGGGATGTGGCTCAGATCCGGGCTGCTTGCGGTTATTGCCACCGCTTCCGCCTCCGTAGGCGGCCAGCTGTGATCCCGCTTGAGCATATGTCGCTTGGTGGCCATGCGATTGATCTTGAGCACCGTGTCCCGGTCGATGGTGATGTCCTGCTGGTGGCTGAGGTAGTGGGTCTTGATCTGATCCAGCAGCTGCTGGTGCAGCGTATGATGCAGGCCATCCCCATCACGCTGTCGCGTGCGACTCTGTCTTTCTTGGGGGTAAAAGTCTTTGGGGCATGGTTTTTCAATCAATTAAAGTTTGCTGCACAATCAATACGGAGTCTGGACGGGGCACTGTGAGTGGGCGTGGCTGTGTTTGTTGAATGCTTTACACTGTTTAACATACTTTCTGTTTTGTGTGGACACAAGACACGCACTAAACGATACACTAAAATGGCTGGAAAGGTTTAATCTTACCGCATTTGGCTTGCTGCTCTTCCTCTTCGACAGCTCTTAGAACGGCCGAATTGGCAAGGTTCAGGGGCTTGGCGATTTGATCGTCGACTTCAATCCTGCAAATATTGTGTTTAAACAGAAATTTTTTTAGTAAAAATAATGAATAAATTGCGGAAAAGTGAATTAGAATAATAAAATTTGAATTTTCACTGCTCTAACGGATTCCAAGGCTTGGCAGTGCAAAAAGTACTGCCTTGCCGATGCAAAAGCTGTACACAGCAATAGGATGCACTGCTTCCACTGCTTGCACTGCTTCAACCTGTGCGTTTGTGCAAGAAATTGAAAATTGTTGGTTCGTATCCTGCCAACGTTCATTTTACTCTCTATTTTTCGTATAAATTATTTATTTTAAATATGTTTTTTATGTTAAATTAAATATATGCAATTTTTTTAAACTAATTGAGGTTTTATGATGAATTTCTGTCAAAATTAACGGGAAAACAGGAAAGTTACCGTGAAAAAGCTAAATGCATAGGAAATATCTGATTGAAAATGAAAAGACAAAGACCTTTTACCCTACCACGAGTTGCCATGCCTTCTGCACGGGTTTGTTTATTAATAGGGATATGCTCTGTCTCTCGTCATATAGTTCTGCTGTTCTTATGGGCATAAATTAGTCCCTGTCCCAGCGTCAGCAAACTCTACCTGCCACAGCAACACCACATCCTTCTCCTGGTCTGGCATTGAAATTCGCGTGCGCGCACCTCGACCCACGCTGACCCCAAAAGAAGCGGATGATAATCGACTCTGACAAGCACCTCGCTGCGCCAGTGGATATAAAAGCGCCTGGCAGTGTCTGCCAATGCATCCACATCCCGAACAGCGTCTTGGCTGGCAACTTGTCTTTGACCGGAACAGTCTACTCCAAAGAGCTACTTCAGATACCCATGATGGCCGCCACCTCCACCAAGATGCAAATGCTAGTCTCCGTGCTCCTGCTGCTCGTGTCCCTCTGCAGCTGGACCCACGGGGTGCCCAGCAAGCGATCCAGCAGGCTGTGCGGCGACAAGCTGTCCGAAGCCATGGACATGATGTGCCCCAATGGGTTCAATGCCCGAATTCCCCACAAGCGCGGCTTACGTGAGTATTCCATCGAAAACTTCGACGGCAAAGGCAACTACTGGCTTTTTGGTTTTGGTTTTGTTTTGGTTTCGGCTTCAACTCCCGTTTGCAACGATTCACATTCGAACACCTTCCTTTGCAGTGGATCTGTTCGATTACGTGGACCACATGTCCGAGCCGGCACTGGATGATGCGGACACCGCTGATGATGCGGCGGCCGTGGGTGCGGTCCTGCCCGAGGGTGTTCGGCTCCCCTGGCGGCACAACTCCCTAATGTCTACCAGGCGCCAAATGCGCGGAATTGTGAACGAATGTTGTGCCAAGTCGTGCACCATCTATGAGATCAAGGCCTACTGCAAGTGAGGGGCACACACGGAACACAGCACCAGCACCAGCACCGGAACCAGCACCCACTGAAACCTGCACCAATTGAGCACTGATACAACTCCCACCCGCCCAACTAGAAGCTAAACAAATTGTTACGATATTTGATATATGTACGTGTAGATAGAGAGAGACTCAAATGAATATATTATGATGCTCTCAGGAGCTGTTGCAAGAAAAGGGGAATTTAAATTGGATTGGGGAACCCAAAAGCAGAAATTGGGGAATGGATGCGTCCGAGGCTGCCTTTAAAAATGGCCAAAACAAGTTGTATCTTAAAGGAAAAGATTCCGATTATTTCGTGGCTAAAAGCTGTGGCTAAAACCGTCTGAAGTGGGCTTTCGAGTGTGATTATCAGGGAAACATTATTATCTTTTTTGGCAGATAACAAGCGAGATAAATGTAACGCAAGCAACAATGCAGAAAAATGTGGCAAGTAAAGTGATAAAGAAAGATGTTCAAGAATGTGTTTACGAATTAGTGGAAAGCTTCTAACCAGAGGAATGCTTCCAAAAGGGCCTTCCGCAGCGAAAAACCCCATAAAGTTCACTTTTATTACAGTTTTTACATTTGACAATGAACTCGATGATTAATCCCTCGAAAGCTAACACTCCCCTGTGGCATCGGTATCGGTATCTGTATCTGTATCTGTATCTGGCATCCGTCAACTTTAATTAGTTGATTAATTCCGACTAATCACAAATATTAACAGACACTTTCATTTGCAGAGCACACAAATACTCGTATTTGGCCCCCCGAAAATAAATAGAAATTCATTTCGTTGATTTCTAAATAAGATTTTGCCAAATATTTGCCCATATAATTACGAGTGAGAGGCGAGTACTTCGTTGAGAAAGTGATTTAAGGGCAGATGAGATTTGCTGATAAATGTTTTGGCACTTTTTTAGGAAAAGGATTAATTGAGTGGTGTTTCGTGCCCCATGCACCATGCCCCATGTCCCATGTCCCTTGCCCCGTGAATCAGCCCCTCATGAGTGGGCAGCCAGTCAACGAGATGCATCACAACTTTTGGCTAGGCGCCTGCCTCTTGTTTGTTGATATTGTTGTTGCACTTGTTGTAACGGTGCCCAATTTGGTTCGTGTGACTCATTCGAATTGCTGACGTCTTTACTTTGCAGCCCCTGTGCCAGTGCCTGTGCTGTGCTGTGCTGTGCTGCGCTGTGCTGTGCTGTGTGTGTTACGGGTTACATAAAAGCGTATCTTAAAGATTCACGTACATTTTGAATGGCAGTTAAATGGAAGTTGCTCCAGGGGCAGACGCAGACCCTGGCTCAGCTGTCTCTCGGCAAAAGTTTACCCTAAATGGGGGAAACACCTCACACGAGCACACGAGCCGCACGCACACGCGAATGTGTTTGAAAGTTTTCAATTTTTTTTTTGGTAATTAAATTGCCAGCTACTGTTGCCTGTGCTGCTGCTGCTACTGCTGCTACTGTTGCTGTTGCACACGTTTTGTCGCACGCATAGTCCCCGTATAACTGAAAGCCACTTAAAGTTTTTGCTCACCCGAGCAGATCTCAGCAGATCTTAGGTGGGGGTCTCCCAGGGGCTAGGTGGGAGGGGGGGTGTGCCAGGCCGGTTTATTTAAACAACAATTGCAAACAACAATGAAAGAGATAGTGTTGTTGCAGCAGCAGCAGCCGCAGCAGCAGCAGCCACAAATACTTGTACAATTTCAAGTCTAAAGCATCTTTGAGATACGCGTCGCAGTCGCTGCTACTGCTGCTGCTGCTGTCGCTGCATATAAAGCTTTTTGGTAATTACAATTAAACGTCAAAGCATTTAATTGTGGAGGTTGTCTCTGTGTCGCCTCTCTGAATTTGAGAGAGGGAGAGACACAAAAAATTGGTGTAGCTGTAGCTGTAGCTGTCGCTGTCGCTGTCGCTGTTTTTGTCTCTGCCTCTGTCACTGGTGCAGTCGTTGCCGCGCTGCAATGAGCATGGCTATCCCCCCTCTCCACACCAAATTGATGTGTTTTGTACACCTGTTCTTGGGGGCAGGCAGACAGCATATAAGTACACGACAGAATAACAGCTAAATAGATATACAATCCGCCCAGACCCCTACCCCATACCCCAAAACCCATGCCTCATGCCCCATCCCCTCGCCTTTTATGGGCACTTTTCATCAGCCTTTGGCACTGGCTGATGACTGCCTTTCATCTTGTCTATAAAATTATGCATTTAAATGTTTAATAATCATTTCAGTTCAGGGCGCCACACGCCCAAACGACTACTCACCCCTCGCCGCCGAAGGCCTTCAGCTCGCGGTTCAACGTGGCCTTGACGTTCTCCTGGGAGTAGAGGCCCATTGGGGAGTTGAACTGCTTGTGCACCAGCTTCCGTTGTAGGGCGGCCATTTTGATATCTCCTTTGCTTTGGTTTCTTTTCTTTTTTCCAACTGCTTTTCCTCTGCTGCTTGTCGCTGCTTGTTGCTGCTTTCTTCTGCTTGCTGTTTGAGTTTGGCTTTGGCTTTGGCTTTTCTTCCTCTCTTATTCTCTTTCTTTCTTCTGATGCTGTTCGGGTTTCTTCAAAAAGTTTTTCGAAAAATATTGTTGATAAAAAATATTTTTTTAAATTTTCTGCCCCAAACTCTTCTGCAGTTTTTTCTCGTAGTAAAAACTTCTGTGTGGGACTTGGATCCGCTTATCGTTTTAAGAGTGGTTTACAAGTTGTTGCTCTTTTTGTTGGTGTTCTCTGGTTTCTGGTTGCTTGTGGCTGTTCTGTTGTTGTTGCTGTTGTTGTTGGAAAACAGAATTCCAAACACTTTTCAGTTTTCCCCCACTTCAGCTTTCAGTTTCTGTTGGACTTAATGTTAATCGTTAATTGTCGGTCGTTGTTCGTTCTGTAATTGAAAATGCAAAAAAGGGAAACTGGATGAGTGCGGGAGCGGCAATGGGAACGGGAATGGAAATGGTATAAACAGGAATTTAATTTGTACAAAAGTTGATGGAAGGAATACAAGTTTAATCGGGGATAGTCTTTGTGAGAGAGCTGGCTGCACAAAATCCATATTGTTTAATGCTCAGACTACAGGTTTGTGCATTTGTAACTTTTAATGATAATCGAACAAAGCCAGGAGCCCTACAAAGTAATTTTTCTTTCATTTCTGATTATAGTTTCTCTTAGCAAGATATGTATGCTTTCACTTGGCACTGTTCTATAGTTGTCTTTAAGGTTCTGCGACAAGTTGCAGCTCAAAATTTGAAAGACCAAGGGGAATGTCCCAGTATACGCTCCGACAAACGGACAGAGGGACATCATTATATCGACACAGCTATTGACACTTTCCAAGGTTGAAATGAATTCATTCTCAACATTGAAAACACCTGGCCATCAATTATATTTTCACCACTCAAATATTTAAATTTATATAAGCCACAGACGTGTTGCATTTGCAGATAAATCAAGTTAATTGAGAGATATATATGTATAAAAACCACTGTTTTTATTTAATAATGTATTAATATATCTTAATTTGGAATCGAAGTACATATGTGCATATATGTATGTATGTACATTGTCACATAGTCGTTTCAAGCAGACCCCTTACATACATATATACTTGTAATCACGAAATGCTATATATTTGTTCAATGAGTTTTTTGTGGAATTTGTTGATTGATTGATTGATTAATGATGACAAATACAAGGATTTTGAAAATTGTTCAACAAATTGAGAGAGAGAGAGAGAGAAAGAGGGGAAATCTGGTCAAGACAACTTTTCAGAGTTTTCCACCAAAACGAATACACTTTTGATAGCAGCACAAAAACACTTCAATGCCAGCACTACTATTTATACAACACACGTAAAAAAAAAGAATATATACGAGCAATTGTATGCACTGGAATCATTGGAATCTGTTCCGATTTTACAGCTGCTGCTCACAAATTACACACGGAAAAAAAACCAAAAAAAAATCTTAAAGATACAGATATACTATAACTATATGATTTTTTCCAATTTGCTGCGACTCACTCACTTCTGTCACATTGAGAAATGTATCTTAAACTAATTTGAGAGCACTGCTTGCTGGGCAAAAAAACAAAAAGGAACAAAAATATACATGTGTATATGTTATATGGGATTTTGTGTTGTTTTTGGGGCCTAAAAATAGAGGCCAAGACAGCGGCAAAAAATATTGAAATGTGCTCAATTTTTTTTTTGCTCATACTCATATTTTCCACACACACTCGACTCGATTCAGATGGTATCTTCTCTCGCTCTCGCTCTGGCTCTGGCTCTCAACGCTTATGTGTACGTCTTTCGGCCCCTTTCTTTTTAGCCGCACACTATCTTTCTGTCTTTCTATCTACATATCTGTCTGCTGTTTGCTCTATTTTGAAATTCCCGCCTTGTGTGTCACCTCAAATAAAATTAGCAGCTGTGAGGAAAAGCAAAGATATTATTGTTCAGATTTGCGTCATTTCCACTGATGTACATATGTATGTACACTTGTGTTCGACGGAAAATGTATCAAAATCCGCATCAGAGATGGAAAATGTATGAAAATCATAATCATCATCATCAAAAGAGAAGAGCAGATGAGAGAGAAGAGAAGAGAGACAGCAGAACAAGGAGAGTGCGAGGGAGCGGCTGATTGTTGAAAATGGTTGGAAAATGCAATAAAAGACACTTGAAATAATCGTAATGAAGTATTTTGGTGTGTTTGCTCGTATTTTATGCGTTTTAATTGAGCTGCTTTTGCTTTTGCCTCGGCCGCGGTTGCATGCCACGTCGTGGCAGCTGCCACACAGCTGCTACGGCTGCTGCTGTGGCAATCGTGGCACCCGGAAACGGCACCCAAGAATCGCACAAATTAATCAACATTTAATAAAATATTATGCAAATTACAGCACAAAAGGCAGGAAGCCAGTGGCAATGGCAGTGGCAGAGCCAGAGCCAGAGCCAGAGCGGCAAGAGCTTGCCACTTGATGTCCCAATTAAAGTTTAACACAACTCGCACACACACACCAGCACACAGCCCCCACTCAACACACACACACACACACACACACACACACACAGGCAAGCCGAACAGGTGCGTGCTGCATTCTATGTACTTAGCACAGGAATTGTAAGAGAATTTGCATAAAAAATTTTCACTAAAATAATGTTTGAATAAAAAAAAAAAGGAAAGGAAAGTTAAACATGAGTATTGTGTGGGGGAAGGGAAACGAAAGGGGGGGGGAGGTGTGTGAGGTGCCACAGAAACAATATTCTTCTACCTATACCATATGCCTAGAGACAACCCACTCAAGCCACCCACTGTAGCAGTTTCCATACTCTTTTCAGGCGAGCAATCTCCACGACACTATGCGATGCGGTTTTCTTATTGAAATTCCTCAAATACATTGGGCTCTGCTGGGATTGCGAGCAAATCAGAAGCAGATATTTCCTTGAATTCTTTTCTTCGGTCTGTTTTGTCTATCATTTCTACAACGAAATGTTATAAGGATCTTTGGAAGCAATGTCTAAGGATTCCTTAAGTTCAGCTGAAGATTGTTAGATACTATTATTGAATCGTTGGCAGGAGTAAAGAACTCTTATAATTAGATTATACAAGTTTGCCCTTACGAACTATTGAAACCTCTTCATTAAAGCCCTATAAACTTTCAGAAATACCTTTAAAATTCAGCTAGATATTCCCAGCCTATTTTATGGCTGTTTTCTGGCAAACAACTAAAGTTTGCCCCCACAGAGACAATATCTGCGGCTAGAAATCAATGTTTTATTTAAATGATCATAAAATGCTGTTTATTTCGGCTATGAATTCAGTTAGGGTATAAGGTATGAGGACTTTCGCGCTTTCGTAATTAACATCTCTCTTCGGTTCTCTTTTTTTCCTGCTGTGCGTTCATTTTGGCAGCACCAGAACCAGCATCAGAACCAGAAACAGAAACAGCACCATCGACATCATTATCATCTCTCGACTCGACTCGACTCCGTGGGGCATGTGTGAGAGGATGAGTGTGATGTGGTGGGTCGTGGGTGTGGGTCGTGGGTGTGGGTGGTTGCTATATAAACTATAATCATGGCTATATATGCATGCGTGTCTGCGTGTGTGTATGCATTGAAATCAGGTGCAAATATTGTTAGATTTCGCAAATCTGTGTGTCGACGACGACGCATCTGTGTGTCTGAGTGGAGGCTGCCTGGTTGCGGATTGCGCTTCTCGAAATCCCCAAAAACTGGCTAAAAGCGGGTGGGTACGTGGGTACGTGGGTAGGTGGTCGGCTTTCACGCTTGCCTTGATGTTTGCCAGGCTTTCCGACTGGCTCTTGCTCATTTAATTATTAACGGACAGCATTGTGTTTCTGATTTTGTTTTAGTTGGATCGTTTAAATATTTAATTTAGCTTCTAGCTAGCTCTCTCTCTCTCTTGGGAACTCCATGGGGGATCGGGGTGGGGTTACACTAAAGTACACTAATAATCAACAAATAAACACAGACCAGGCACGAGTGTGTTGGGAAAATACTTATTTATTTGTTTTAATGTGAGTGAGTGGGTGGGTGGGTGCTTACCGTCTGTTACAATTTGGCGCTGCTTAATCCAAAAATAACGCCAGAAAATTGCCAACGTTCGCTCCAAGTGGCTTCGACCGCAGCAGCCCCCTGAATCGTGAGACCCATCCCTACGCGACCCCATCCGATTCGCCTTCGACCCGCCCCCGCGCTGCAGTTTGCACTTTCACCGCCAAATTGCATTCAACACTCTTTTCCCTCAAGAGTGGCTGTCGGTTCGTGTCTGTCCGCGTGCAAGAGCGTTGGTGGGTGGATAGGTGGGTGTCTGGGAGCGCGTGCCCGTCCGCCGCCAGCCGGCGTTTTGTAAGCGCACCATCGGCGAACTGAAACTGAAACAGCGCCAGAAACTCAACGAGAACCGAGGAAAAACTTTACGCAATGATCACTGGCTGGCGCTTGTTTTTGTTGGTTTTTCATCAGTCTACATTTTCACATCTTTGTGGAGGGGTACCAGAGAAGCAGCAGAGCAAGCAGTGGCGCAAGCAGAAGCATCATCAGCAGAAGCAGTGGAACGACGAGCTTCGGGGATAGCTGTAAGTACAATCATGTGTGTGTGTGCGAGCGAGATAGTGCGTGCCAAGGGAGCGAGCGGTGCGCTACACTGGCGGTCATAATAAAGTGCATTGTCTGCATATGAATATGAAATCGGAGAGCGTCAATGAATGGGGCGAACAAAAATTAATTAAAACATATTTATGGCCAAAGTGGAACTGCTTACGCACTTCAGATGTGGCAGACTGACTTTTATTACCCAATTAATAACCAGCGCCAGCAACAAATTAAATTATATTAAAGCCCATTTGGCAGATATTCAAGAAAACGTTTGCCAAAAAGCGGAAAAACAAAGCCTTGACAAGGTGAAAATCAAAAGGAAAATGGAAATGCTAAAGCCATGAAGCTACCTAGCCCCCATTCTAATTCTAACTGAATCATCAGCCATTCCTGGGGGTGCTGGTACACCAGCGCACCTTTTATCGCACGCCACTAGTGTCAGTCAGCCCCATATTTATAAGAATCTCTATGCAAACACCCCAGCAAAACCAGCAACAACAAGAGCACTCAATGATAGTTTTGGTGAATATCTTTGAGAGCCGACACCAACAGCAACAGAAACAGCAACAGCAACAGCAACAAAAAAAAAGAGCAAAAAAGTGAAATATAAAAAAAAACATTTGGTTGCCGTCGATGAACGACAAGTCGGCGACGGAGACAGGGCCTAGGAAGCGGCGGAAAGATGGATAGATACGTAGATACTACATTCGTATTCGTATCTATAGATTGTATAGATGTGTATGCAGGTCGCCTGGCCAGGCCCCGGACCCGGACCCGCCGACTATTACAGAATTTTTACTGCCGCGTCCGAGAGCACGTCTCTAATATTCTATTTCTGAGTGTAGTTCTTCTTTTTTAATTTTTTTCTTCTTTTTTTATATATTTTTTTATTGGATTCTGGTCTTTCTGGTCTTTCTGGTCTCTCCACGTCTCCACGCGGCAGCACACGATTTTCCCCCGAGTTTTTCGGGGTAGCAATATCCACACGAAAATAGCAGAAAAGAGTCCATACACTCGTAGAAAGCGGTTGAAGCATGAGAAGAAAATTCGCTTAAAATGTCATTTAATTGTTTCACTTGCAAGCAATTGGAGTGTGTATGTGTGTGTGTGTGTGTGTGTATTTTTTTTCTTGTATTATTGCCAGTTTCTGGCTTTTTGGTTTTTTTGGTTTTTTGAGTTTTCGGGTTTTTGGCTTTTCTCGCGGCTGAAGTTGATTTTCATTTGGCAGAGCAGAGCCTCATCTCATTTTGGCTTCACTTTTTAATTGCGCTTTAAATGCTAATTAGCTTTTGTGCGCTCATATCGGTTGATTTCGCTTTAATGCACTTTATTTAATTAATTTTTGATGGCGCATATATCCGCCATATATGCGGGAATCGGGATCGGGATCGGGAGAGGAGTGGAGTGGAGTGTTCCCCCAAACCATTATTCTTTTGTGTCGCATTTTCCGGGCATTCATTTTCGTTGGCGCCTCGTTTTCAATTTGCCAGTCCGCAAATTACACTGCACCACACACAACAAAAATACTGATGGACACACAAAGCACAGCACACCTTTAGCGACTGCACTTGGGGGGCAGGGCAGGGCAGGGCAGGGCAGGGCAGACAAACACTCGTACTGTTCCGTACTGGGGTCTCGGAAGCTGGGACTCGACTCTGAACACGTCCGCGGTGCGAAATATTATTGTTACTCTGTCGCTCGGTGGCTCTCGACGCATGCCACCAAAAAGTTCGCGAAAGCAGCGAAAGTTCCTCTTGCTCTTTGGATCGTCTTCTTTCATGGAAAATGGAAAATGATGACACACATACAGAGTGATACCTACATATGTAGTAGTGTACCGTACCTAAGGGGCCCCTGTCCCAGTCCCTGCCCAACGCCCACTCGCACACACTCTCATTCTCACTCGCAGCCGCTTATAAATTAGTCCGAATAGCCACTGGCTAATCACGTATTCTTTCACACAGACCCCCCTAATGGCATCCAAGTCGAAGAAGCGATAAATATTCAACACTCACACTCGAACAGGGGGCATATGTAGGGGTGCGCTAAACCACCTAATTAACTAGAAAACAACGATTCGATATATGTACTAGATTGCTTCACCTATGGTTGTTTATATATGTACATATGTATGTATGTACACTTGTGGGCCGCACAAACATGTATATTTATATGCATGTTTTTCTAAATATTGAATATTTATTTTTGGACTTTTGGAAAGCAATTTTAAAGCAGTTCGAATACCCTAACTAATGCTTGGGGCTCTACTGATTTGCTGTGCAGGCGGACACTTGTTGTTTATTTTATTTTTTTGTAGCCTACTTACAACAGTTACTTTGGTGGGCATACTTTTCTGGAGGGTAGTGTCCGTTCGGCAGCTTTCGCCGATTTTGTTTGAAGCTTAAACCGCTCTTAAATCGCTCCTAATCTTTCTCTTAAGCTGAGATCCTTCCCATAGCATGGATTTATCGGGAAGTTTAGCTTCCTCTGTAGTGCTTCGATGCACAACGAAGTGACTCGTGAGCCACAGCCACAGCCACAGACAAGGAAAAAAATTTCAATTCGTGTTGTTTCATTTCCAGCATTAGACAAGCGTCTATCAACACAAATTTGATATTTTTGTTCGTCATAGTAGGGATTCGCATTGTTTTATTTGTTCCACTTCGTATCTACATACATACACATGTACGTGCGCGTGTGTGTGTTTGGTATATTTAGTTTTTATCTGCTTATATTTTTGGAAATTTAGTTTTGCCATCAAGCACAGAAGAATCGGCAAACAGCAACAACTTAATACCGTTATTTTGCGCCGTGTTCCCTCTCCCTCTCCCTCTTTCTCATGCTTTATGGATTTTGATGAAGCGCATTCGTATTTCACAAGTTCATGTGCTTTCGGTTCGTTCAAGCACAACAATTAGTGCATCGAATGTGTTTCCACGCCATTCTCTCCCTCTCCCTCTCCACTCTCCACTCTTCACTCTCTTAACCACCCCCCTCCCTGCTGTTCGAGCGGACGAAATTTAACCCATGCACAAAAAAGCTTTTTCAGTAGAGAGCACCTGACAGGCAACTAAGCTGCCTGCCTGCTTGTCCCCCCGCCCGCTCGAAGCTCTCCTGCACTCATCGCCGCTTTTTCCCACTCTCGTATCTCCCGCCACTCTTCAAAGTCTCCTCTCTGCTCGTTTTGCTTTAGTATTTCACGCTAGAAAGCCAACCAAAAAAATAATATGTTTAATGTTTGTGAATGATTAATGGCACATTAGAATTGAAATTGTTTTTGGCCGTAGCGAAAAAGGCAGCGGAATCGGGATGGGATAGGAATCAGCAGAAGAATTATACATACATACAGCAGGCAGCCTCAGCCTCAGCCTCAACCGTGCTAAGCGCAGCAGAGTGTATACATTGCTATAATGTGCAAATATTTATATGCCAAATGGCCCCAAGACCAAGACCTCCCCTTCTCCCCATCTCCCCATCTCCCCATTTATCCTCAGAAACTACATACTCAGATATGTACATATATGGATATATGTATGTATGTACATATATGGATATATGTATGTATGTACATATGTGCTCTACCAGCTGGCATCTGGCTGCGGCCTGAGTGGAACAGGTGAGTGTTTATAATGTATCGCATATGCATGGCAAAAAATAAGAGAAATATTCTGCAAATATGCGAATATCTACATATGCAAAGATATATGTATTCATATGGATTTTGTATATTATTTTGGCTGCCAAGTGTCCTTGGGGGCCACGATGCGTTTTGACGGAAAGCCAACACCCAGCCCAGCCCCCAGCTCAAGCCCAAAACCGAACCGAACTGAATCGCATCGCATCGCATCGTACTGAACCCCAACCTGAAAACCCCAATTCAAGTTAAAATCCAAAACGAACTTTGCCAAATTGCAAAAGCCACAAAACCAAAACATTTCGTCGCCTGCTGCTGAAGTTTGTGTTGCTTCTTCTACTGCTTCCATTGCTTCTTCTGGTGCTTTTTCTACTGCTTCTTCTGGTGGTGCCTGTTGCCTGCCTCACGTATTGTCAAGGGGGCAAACAGAGTCCCAAAGAAGCTCGACACACACACAACCAAACAACCAAAAACACTAGCATACAGACACTCTTGCACCTACAACTACACTGAGCGAAAAGCCGTGCAAAAACCCCATTTAGAGCGATAGAACCTCATCTATACTGCTACAGCTGAGCCATTTTACTCTCATTTCTTTGTTATTTTCACATATTTGTTGTCCTAAGCTGGTTTCTTGCATGCACTTTTCTCTAAGTGTACCGAAGACACACTTGGGGCCAAAGAGTTGGCAGAAATTTCTTAATAAACTTTAATGACTGCGGGGTGGCATGTGTTGTCTTGTGTTTGTCACTTTGGCTTTGGGTTTTGGCTGCAAGTGCAACTTTGATGGACTCGGATAACCTGGCATGGCCGTGGCGCCTCGAATTATGCAACAACTTGTCAGTAAAGTACTTTCGACTCCCCGCAGGCGGCCGACAAATTCGCCTGCCAGCATCAAACGAAGGAGGCCGTTTTGGTTTCGCCTATAATTTACTTGACCATCACGTAGCAAAGTCACGCACGCCCCTCGTCTGATTGCAAGGGGGCTGGGGCTAGAGAGAGAGTGAGAGAGGGGGAGGGGGAAGGAGAGAGGGAGGGCCATCATGCAACAAGCTTTGGGGGTCAATGCGAGACAACTCATGCATTACTTATGATACGACCCGAGGATAGATACAAGGTATCTTAGTTGCCATTTGTGGCATGTTCTGAGATACTAAATTGGAAAGATTCAAATCAAATTCAAATCAGGGAACGCTAACGGGAACGGGCACTGAAACCCCATTCATTTGCATTTCGATTGACTTTCGGCATACATATTGTAGTAGTTGTACTACGAGTATATATGCGAATCAAATATATATATAATTAATCTGGGATCAATCCTGCGCCGTTCTAATGGGAAATCCAAGCTGTTTTCGGGCGTGTTGTGCTGCCGAGGGAGAACTTTAATGGTTTTTGCTGAAGATTTATCTTTGAAACCCCTTTCTTTAATGATTATCTGGGGCACCCCAAAGGTCTTTCTAGTGACGTGATTGGATGGGAAATGTGGCACGAATATCCTTGCTGTCGGATGTTTAAACCCATGATCTTCTACTTATTCGACACGTTTTTAATCGACCTTTCCTTCGCTAAACTTTACATATTCCTAGCGATTTCCCGGCGAAACGGTCCTCCAGAACATCAGCCCATAAACTACACCATCCTCAGCCGTATCCGCAACCGCATCCGCTTCCGCATCCGCATCCGTATCGGTATCCGTGTACCCATTCCCATATGCAGGTCTCTCCACATAGTGAGACGTGAGTGTTCCTGCCTCCTTGGCTTGACTCTTCGGCTTGGCCTCTTTTTTATGCGATACGATGCGGTTTTCGCTCCTTAATGGTCGTGGCCCATAAAAAAGGAGGTTCCCCATTCGGCGCGTAACCAGAAGGTCGACGAGGAAGACCTCGTTTACCGCACTGGCAATCGCTTTACTTAACTGCTGGACTTGTTTGCGCCAAATTAACACATTTATTTATGCCACAATTTGTTGCTTAAATATTTATTGAAACCCAGAGAGGAACACACGGAGAAAGAGAGGAGTAACATTAAAAAAAAATTGTATTTCGTTTATTTCATATACAATAAGTACACACACATAAACATATGATATATACGTACATATACTTATACATAATACATATGTACATATATATATGTATGTATCAGTATTTCATATCCATATCCATATTCATATTCTTCCAATACACAAACACATATACATACATAGCGGCATAAACATACATATAAAGTGGCTTATACACAAATACATATGATGCAGAGACGATTCTTTGTAGTCATATCACACACACAAACGATATGGCCCACACACTCCTGCATGGGGCATGGAGCATGGGGCATAATTGAGAGTAAATTAGCGCTATATTTGTATATAGGAATTGGTGAGCCAGTGAGCGGCAAGTCATCTTCATCCTCATCCTCATCCTCATTCTCATCCCTATCCTCATCGTCCATTTCCTTTCTGGTGGCATCTCCATCCTCCCCACGTTTTTTGATATGTTCTGGCTTAAACGAGAACGCTTAAATTCGCTGGTTGCGGCAATTGCTGCTGCATCGCCTGCTGCTCTGCCCCCACAACATCCTTTGCAGGCCATAAAAAAGAGCACCCAGAGCAGCAAGCAGACAGCTCCACGACTGTGGAAGCGCGGACATGGCCGCTCGGCCCTGCAACGGCAGCTGCTCCTCCTCCAGGCACAGCCGGAACTCGTCGTAGTCCAGGCGCGTGATGGCGCAGTAATGATTGAGCATGCACAGGCCCTGGCAGGGCGTACCGGACTGATATCGCACGGCATTGGCTCTGTGGTATCTGCAGATGAGAAAAAAAAACACAACAGACGGAGTATCAAGAGGGTAGGGGAGAGAGAGAGTGTAGAGGATGTATTGGTCGGATCTACCCTGGAATAGTTTCTCTTTAAATACATATATCAAAGGGATATTCCACTTAAAGCAGTAGTTGCAACTATTTGGGGAAATGTAGATTCAATTGGACCCCTTTTCATCGCTATGTTAAGACTGCAGTTGCTATATGCATCTGGATATCTAGGGTGCACAACCACAGTAGATAATGGCTGATATTCGTTGAAAGATCCATATCATAGCTATCCATATCATGCTATGACTCATGTAATTTGAGTAGTTTTGTGGATTAACAGGAGGTTTTTCGAATGAGCCTGAAAAGAACTTAAGACCTTTAGAATTCCTTCTTTAGTTCTACCAAAAACCTACAGAGTTCAGCTTAAATAATCCTCGTACTATTAGCGTTAAGACTTGGGACTAATTTTACTTCAAGGGATAAAGTATCTCCCATGTAAACAGTGATTCAAATACCTTTTGAACCCAAACATTGGATTCTTTCTATTGTGCTATGGTTGACTTTATTGCAAATCCTGCCCAAAACGAATATACCTTTTTAACTGATGACAGATTACTGAGTAAACATCAATCAACGGAAAGAGGACAACTATAATTGCTCGCAAAACATTTACCTGGTGAACCAGGAGGCATCGGTGCCCGTGAAGCGCTCCGCAAAATTGTGCAACGCCAGGGCGGAGATCTCGGAGAGGGCGTAGTAGTGCGTCAGATTGTACTCGGGCTGCCAGAGCGGCTCCTGGGCCCGATTAGCCAGTGGCAGGTCTAGCCAGAACTGGGTGTAGTCCAGCACCTGGCCGCTTCCCGTGTCGAATTTGTACAGCCGTAGGGCCGGATTATTGGATGAGCCGATGCCCGCCTTCCGTGGCACAATCGAGGGGGCAATCATCATCCAAGAGATGGGGTGTCCTGTCAATGAAGCAATGGCGGCTTGAAAACCGAACTGGATTACAGGCAATTCGGGGGGCGATGACACTACCTTGGGCATCATAGATCAGGCGGAAAGTGTCCGAGTGCAGGTGGCCGAAGAACTGTCCCTGGATGACCGAGGCGAAGCGGCGCACCATCTCCAGATACCGCCGGTTGTTGCGCTCCGTGAACATTAACTGGTTGTGCTGCTGCGGTCCCAGATGACGCTCGTCCACGCCCGGCGGCATGTGGCCCACGATGTAGACCTGGTGGCAGCCACAGATATCCAAACAGATAAATCGTATTCGGTGTAAGGCCACCCAGCAAATTAAATATACCAATTAATCAACCAGGAACTCGCTGCTATTCGATTTTATTCACGACACGGTCGCCCCGGTTCATACGCATGCACTCATGTATGCACGAGTATTTATGAATATCTGCATGCAGAGAACGAAAATCCCTTTAAATATCTTGTTAATATCGGACAGATTTCAGCATTCGCATTACAGACTGTAATTTTTAAATTGATGAATAAAATTCCACACTAAAATATAGCCAGCGGAGCCACAGGAAACGGGGGAATGCTGGGCATAAATTTATACTTTTATCTATAAAATTATTACAGGTACTCGTATACGACTTGCATTCACTTCCTGCATTGCTGTGATTTCACCCATTAATAAGCTTCTTCAGACCGACATTGGACGATGTTAATTAATTATCTAGAACTGTGTGTTTTTTGTTTTTTTTTGATCAATCGATTGGAACCTGTGGAGCCTCTAATCAAAATGTACGTATTCCCTTACTTCCTGGGGTATCTTTTGGTACACGGCTATAAAGGATTTCCCTAAATTTTCAGGTATGGAAGTCAAGGACATTCCTACCTCCTTTTATTTGGGTAAACTCTCACTCTTTACCCGCTTACAAAGTTTCTAGACCCTTGATTACCGTTTCCAGTTTATCCCGCGACTTGGTGAGCACCTCCTCCAGCCAGAGCCACTGCTGCTCGGCCAGCACCTCCTCCTGGGCGGACATGGAGCTGACGGAGGCCTTGGGCTCTGCATAGTACTCGACTGGCCAGCGCAGGCTGTGCGATGCCCTGGGATCTGGGGGGTCGTGATCCAGACGCATGAAGTTCGTGTTGAGGGCAACGATGCGCAGGCGGCTCTTCGTCTGCTCGATGGAGTAGTAGCCGCCCTGGTCAAAGGTCACGAGTGCTTCCGAAGGCAGCCAGTGGCGCCAGAGTTCGCCCATCCTTTGGTAGCTGCCGCTGCCGTCCTCGTGCCCCAAAACGGGGAAGATGAACTGCGAGGAGAAGCTGCGTCCGAGGAGATCCGTGATGTTGCGCAGGATCTCGTGCTGCTTCTGTTCTGACAGCGGCTGGGCCGAGTGCGAGAGGGCATCCCCGGTCCAGAGGACAAACTCCACATTGTCGCCCTGCTTGGCCTTCATTGTCTTCACGGCGGACTCCACCAGGCTCCAGGGACTGTCGCAGTTGTAGTGCCCAAAGAGCCCTGGCGCCTCACTGGCCGCATTCGCGGCATTGGAGCCCGAACTGGAGCTGGAGACGGGTCGCTCGAACTGCCAGCAGCTTCGGTAAATGTCCCCCTGGGTCGAGTAGATGGTATCCAAGTGAAGGTCGCTGATGTGCCAGAAGTAGCCTGCAATCAGAGAGAGGGACAGAGAGAGAGAGAGAAAGAGAGAAAGAGAGAGATTAAAGTTTGTGTTGTTTGGGCTATTCCTGTGCGGGAAAGGCCACCCCCGTTGGGCATTTGCCTGCCGGCTGGCGGTGAAAACCAAAACAGCGTGTAGTTTTCCCTGCAGCTGAAAAACAACGTCAGTTGACTGACCTGAGGAGGAACCTGAGAACTGATCCGCCGCTCTACGGTATGCGGTATGCGGTATGCGGTATGCGGTACGCGGTCTATGCTCTACGCTCTACCTGTGTGGGAGGGAGGTCGGAGAGTTATCGAGTGAGGCGGAGCAGCGGCACGGAGATCAGTTTCAGTTGGCATTGGCATGCGCATAGATCGATCAACCGGACACAAGTCGCATCTCAGGACAGAAGCCGACGACGACAGGACGACGGGCAAGAACAGTGGCTACTGTGGATACGGATACAGATACGGATACGGAGAGAGCTGTGACGGCTATCCTTTCATGCCCGGCGAGAGCACGAGCACGAATACGAGCAAGATCCAGAACCAGAGCAGCAGCTAGAGCCGGAGTCAGAGCCAGAGCCAGAGCCAGATCCAGATCCAGAGCAGGATGAACGGACGCTTCGGTCTCAGTCTCAGCTTCAGTCTGTCGCTGCTCCTTGTGGCGGCAACCATGTCGCAGATGCTGCAGCAGGTCCAGGGCCGCAGGAAGTTCTGCGGCGAGGCCCTCAACGAGGCGCTTGACCTGATTTGTGTTAATGGCTTCTCACGCAGGATCAAACGCAACCACAATTGTAAGTACCATCCCCCCAATCAATACGCGGTACTGTAGCCCGACTAACTCCCAGACTCAAGTGGTGCAGGCCCCGGATCCGAATGCCCCATCCCGTAAGTGGGTCGCCCTGCTCCACAAATTGGATGGAATCCCGGGAACGGGCACGGGAACGGACACAGGCGCGGGAACAGCAACAGACGGCAAGGGAACACCTGGCGACGGAAAAAATGGACACAACCTGCGGCGTCATCGTCGCCGCATCGCCCACGAGTGCTGCAGGGATGGCTGCACCTACGAGGACATTTTGGAGTACTGCGCCTAACCCCCAAAACGGGAGAGCCTACGATATGACGAGGTGATGACTGGAGGATGCTGGAGGACTGGCGGCGGAAGCAAACGAAACAAAAAACGATGACAACACAACGACAAGGACGACAACGGGGCAGCGGGCTGACGATGTGGACAATTCCCATGGGATGCCAACCGGAAGGCGTTTTGCAATTCATTTTTCTACACTTAACCCTAGAAATATAAATATAAATGCATAAACCTAAACATAATATCTTAAATATTTCATTGTAATATTCTTAAAGGAAGCAAATAAAGTTACTCTCCAACCAAGCAGCAGCAACAAAAGAATATCTCTTTTGCCTCTTGCTGTTTTTCCTTCTGCCAGCCAGAATTCGCATTCCAGCTGTGCACTGAATGCCCCAACCCATCAGAACCAGAACCCCAGAACCCCAGCCACAACCCCAGCTCCAGCCCCATCCCATGTTCATCAACGCGTTTCCCTTGTACTCGTATTCCTCGAACAATAATGAAAATTATGCATTTTTAATTAGATGACGTTGTGATTTTAATAAGAATAACAAAAGGCAATACTGCGGATGGCAGGAAACGAACGAGGAATACACTCGACCAGAGTTTCCCTTTTGATTGCCATTGGATTTGCGAAGAATTTGAGTTGAAAGATAGCTGGGGGTATGGACTCTTACAGAAAGAAACCAAGAATACATTTTCCTCTTGTTTTAAACACTTTTTTTAACGGAAATTACAGTGTTTCAGTGTTGGAGAACTTTCCAGTCATTTGTCTCGCAGAAAGCTGGAGCTATAGGCTAGTCTTCTTCCTGACTAAAGTACTTGAACTATTTCGATTCTTCAACAAGTGCCCCCCCAGTGCACTATCAAAGCTCTCAGAATTCAAAATCAATTTGTTTTCAGAATGGAAATTGGTTGCCTGCCGGCTTTAAGTCCTCCAATAGTTGTGTAAGCCCTTATATGATAGAGAACTTCATGCGCATCATCTTATTGTTCGTTCGTTCGTTCGGCAATCAAGATCCGTGCGTAATTACTTGTGCGGGAGTGTAAACAAAGACCAGACCACTGGCCCGATAGCGTCAGCTGATATGCGTAAGACCTCTCCCAGGCACCACCCACCCACCCACCCACACCACACAGACACTGGGGGAAGGGATAGGATAGGGATATAAACAACCCACACCAAAACCGAGTCGAACAGAATAGAACAGAGCCAAACCGAAAGTAGACCAGACCATGGCCAGCCGCCGGAGAGAACCAACTGACACCTCATCTAACGCACCCTGACAGTGCTCAGACTGTGGCTACGAGGAGCAGACAACGGATCCGGATTCGGTTTCATATAAAGCTTGCCACCGGCGCTGAGAGTCCTACAGTTGTGGCGTGGAAAGTTGAGAGACATCTACTCCGAGTCAGAGGAACAGGAGAGTGAGCCCCACAATTGTGCACCATGCAGCAGACCAAGTCGAAGAGCTTATACCTCGTCCTAATTCTTGTGGGGCTGGTGGTGATGGGACAGCAGACCGCAGCAGACATGTATCTTTGCGGCACCGAACTGAACGATGCCCTGTCCACCATGTGTGGCCGCCATGGCTATAACCGGATGCTGAAGCGGTCTTTCGGTGGGTGTCTAATCATTTTGCAATCGAGTCTTTACTATATATTCTTTGGGGTTTCTCCCAGATCCGACGGACTACAATGATATCGAGGGTGGATTCGGATTGGCCAGAATGGAATTTGATGATCGCTCGCTTCTCCATCGAATGCTGGGCGAGAGCGCCGCTCAGCTGATGAAGACACGGCGTCGTCGTGTCGGGGTCTCCGACGAATGCTGCCTGAAGCCGTGCTCACTTGGAGAGCTCCTCAACTACTGTGCCAAGCCGCCTGGGCAGTATGGGAACTAATGGAGCACAACTGATGATATCTGGAAGCTAATGAATAGAACTGAATAGCCTGGGATAATGTGAATCGGCAGATAGATATATATATATATACCTATATATAAATACATATGTATATTTTAATTATTTACTATCGGAAATTGGAGGAGACCGGGTTGATAGCATGTATGTTTGTATGTACTACCTATAGGGCCATGAATATTCCACCTCTCTATAAATTATTAAATAAATTATCCATTCAAACTGCTGCAGATTGGGCTACACAATGGTTTATCGTTCTCTTTTATTGAACTTAATTATTTATTAGCCATTTTGACGATGGATATCTATGCTAATAATGCAGATATTAAAACTGATTTTCCAAAATACATAATTCATAATTCATTATTCGAAATTCTTAATTCGATATTGAACAGTCCTTGAAGAAAGGGGCAACGGACTATTTAAGAGCCATTGCTTGTCCAAAATTCAATATAATTATTTCCTATGCAGGTTTATACCGACTCCTTTCAATACTTTCTGAGCTTTAGAGCAGGCATCTTCTGATCCCCCGAATTCCAGAATCATGGAGTCATGGTTGATTCTTTTCCACACATAGAATTTATACTCATTTTGCACATTAAAACAAACGAATATCTTTCAATACTATCCCGAAACTTCAATAAGAGGAGGATAGGAATGAAATAACCACAGAATATCAGAAAACTTAGCATTCTACGGCGCTGGATGGCTTTTCAGGTATATAATAAATATAAATAATAGAATATAATAAAAGAGAAATAATAAAGAATGAAAATTGAACGACATACACCACTATACTCGTATACGAGTTTCAGTTTTTCGAAATTTTCAGTATCTTCTATAGAATCCACAGAAACCTTTGCTTTGGGTGTGATCCTATGTATGGCTCCTCTATAACTTCCCCACACTTTTCATGAATGTATTGTGGTAAGGCCCAAAGCGGGATATATATTCTATCTATATTTCTCGATCGTTTATAATAGTTAACATGCAACAAGCCATATATTAAACATTATTCGTACTCTCAATATTCGAATAGGTATGTGCACAAGGCACATGGAGAAACAGGGTCGGGTTGGGTGTGTGTTCGGTGCTGGATCGGTAGTCCTGGGGGGTCTTTAGTAATTGGGGATGGAGCAGTACTCCGTTAGAACGGATATGTCGCAAGGCTTGCGGCAGCATCTATCGGCGATGCCCTGGCGGGTGCGACGGCGCACGGCGGCCAGGGAGCTTAGAGCCTCCTCTCCGCCGTAAAATCGGCCACCGAAGAGCGGATAGGGCAGTACATCAGAGGCTGTGCCCTCCTTGTCCTCCACGTACTGGATGGGATCGAGCGGATCCAGCTCGGTGGCGGCGGCTACAAGGAATCAGAATTGTGTTTAAGGGAAGAGCGAAGCGCCGAGTCGCCGCTTAGTGCAGCACTTACGCATGCCTCGCTTGTGGGGCAGGACACTGTTGAACTCCTTGCACACCAGGGACAGCATCTCGTTCAGCTTGTAGCTGCACAGGACATGGTTGCTCTGGTCCCGCATGTACATGCTGCTGTCCGCGACGCCACACGACAGGGTCACAGCCAGGAGCACCAGGACCAGGGATACCGACACAATCTTGCTCATGGTTATGGCTGGGAGTGGTAGTGGGTTGGTTTTACTTTGCGGATGCTTTGCGGATGCTTTGAGAACTGCCGGATTATGGTAGTTGTGCCTGTCTCCTGTTCTGGCCTCAATCGAGCTTGGCTAAGCCGTAACTGTTGCTGGCCCTCTGGCTGGAGCTGGCTTATATACACATCTCGAATTGGGTCTGGGTCTGGGTTAGGGTCTAGGTCCGTGAAGTGAAAGCATATTCATATCCACATGGACTGTCATTTTGTGTTAGGGACAAGTCGAGTGCATTTGGGGGCTGGGGCTGTGGCTCTGGCTCTGGCTGTGGCTGTGGCTGGGGCCACCACTTGCCACTTCGCTTGCTTAACTCGTTCAATGTCACCGCTGACTTATGCAAATGCTTATTGGGACATTTGTGGGCGGATGAAAAGGTGTGGTGTGGGGCTCCTGTCAGCCAATTAAACAATTTATGTATAAACAGCGGGGCCGTGCTAAGCCTTTTGCCCTGCATTTATGAATACCAAATGAGAGAAACCCACCACCCACCACCTACCACCCACCACAGGCCACCCCTCAAAGCCCCAACACCAATCCCCTTGTCCTTCTTAAGGACGAGTACTTACCGATGCGAGCCTGACCCACTGGCAGCCAGGAGAGGCTGAGGCTGAGGCAAAAGCAGGCCAGGAGCAGGCTCAACTTAGTCATCATTTTGGCTACGAAATATTGCTCCTTCTTGTGGGAACTTTTCCTTCTCCTCTTCCTTTGCCGGTTCCTGCTACTGTTTCAATGCTGTTTCTTGGACAAATTCTTTTTGCACAGTCTACTTTTATTCATTAGTCAAAGTTTTCGCTGCATAAATAGGTGATTACGAATCGGATTATGAATGTATTTAGGAATATATGTATGGGTGTATATGTATGTATGTATGTATGTATGTATGTCTGTATGGGGGAGTGTGTCTTGGCGTTGATTGGGTGGATGGTGCTTTATTTGGGGAGGCAGTAGGAGGCCAGCTCCTCGTAGCGGCAAGAGTACACACAGCACTCGTCGTAGATGCCACCCGATGACCGCTGTCTCCGATGTCGCCGCGTCTTGATGAGCACCTCTGCCCCATAGAGGCTGGAGAGCAGAGGGCTCAACGCATACTCGGGTGCATCATCATCTTGGGCATCCACTGTGGAACTCTTTTTCTGCGGCAGCGTGTTGTAGCCGTGGGCACAGACCACGTCCATGGCGTCGGACAGGGCCTGGCCGCACAGCTTGTGGCTGCCCTGCTGCAGCTGATGGACATGGCCCTGGACGACGGCCAGGAAGATCAGCATGACGAGCGGCCAGTGCCGCCTGGAGACCTGTACTGCCGTTATTGCACTTGTGTCCTTGCCCAACATCCTGTGGCTGAGTCTGTTTTGGCTGTTTGAAGGCATTGCAACAGCTATTTATACGCCGAAATCTGCCTCAAATCTTACGGCAGTTCAATGCACTTTTGGGGCACTTCAACAACCAGTCCCCGTTCTGTATCCTGCCTCAAACCCTCTTGAAAACAACTCAAACCCTCTGTTTTCACACGTTAGTTTCCACTTAAGAGGCTGTGACTGCTGTCGCGGGCGATTACTGTTTCCCCACAGTGTGGCAGCCTCATTAGCATTTAGCTAGTGGGCGCCCCTGCTCCCTGCCCAGGTGGAAAGTATGCTTCACTAAGTTGAAGTGTGAGGCAGGCAGGCAGGCAGGCAGACCGAGGCGCTACAGTGTGCGAAACTGCTTCGATCTGGTGGGCTGGCCACATCGCAACAGTTGGTTGCCAGCGTTGCCGCAATCGGTTGCACACTCGAGACTCGAGACGACACTGCCCACACACTTCACGTTGAGAGAGGAATACAGTACAAAATAATCGTGAAATAACTTCAAAATATATAAAAATGGTGCTCGATATCAAGATGTGCCGCTTTGACAATGTGCCCTGGGGCTTTCGGCTGGTGGGCGGCGCGGACTACGATTACCCCCTAACGGTTGTTAAGGTTAGGCCCGACCATCGCTCTCCGGACGGACGGATCGGATCGGAATCCCTGTCTCCGTCTCCGTCTCCGTCTCCTCTCACCTGTTACCCCACCCGCACACCTGTGGGGTGGCGCCTGTGTTTGTCACATTTGTTTACGGCTTGGAAATATCTCGCTTTTCGTCGGTCGCATTGCTTTTCAAATTAATTTAGCCTTTTGCGATATTTTTTTTTAGTTCAATTACGTAACGATGTGCGTTTTCGCGTTTTTTGTGTGTGTGTGCATTTGCCAAATTGGCAAATTAGTTAATTAAAGTAATTCCTAGCAGAAACGCTCTTTTGTTTATCTAATCGACAGACAGACAGCCGGAAAGGGCCGTCCGTGCCGTGCATTTGCCTGCTAATGAGCCACATAATAGCGTCCGGGACATAAACTTATTCAAATTTTAATTGTGTGTTTTAGTTGCAGTCGCAGTGGCACTGTCAGTGGCAGTTGCCGTTGCAGTTGCAGTTGCAGTTGCAGTTGCGGAGATTCAATGTCTGTTTCAGTTTCAGTTTCGGATTCTGTTCTGTTTCGGTTACGGTTTGTTGGATGTGCATACTCGTAAATTGCATTTTACATTTAGCATTTTCCCAATTTCGCATCGCATCGCATCCGATTTTGCAGTTACATTGTGTGTTGACAACAACGACAACAATACAACAATTAAGTATCAGCGTAAATCCGCGACAAATGCAATTTTTAATTGGCAAACTGAAATGCACACACAGACAGAGAGAGAGAGAGAGAGAGAGAGAGAGACGGAGGGAGAGAGCACCCAAATTTGAGTATCAGTGCAAGTGCGAGGGCTGTTTGAGTGGAAGAATTAAAGGTCGCGGGCGCCCTTTTTTTTGCAGTCTCTCTCTCTCTCATCAACAGGCTCTCCGCGCTCTCCGTAGCTACGTGAATGAACGTGGGAAAGGTTTTCACACAAATTATACAATTCAAGGACCGCCTACTCCACCGTTCTATAATTTGGGATTCACTCTAATAGTTGTCCCCGCCACCTTCCCTCTTCTCTATTTAAAGAGATTACGGATTTTCGTCACCTTATTTAAATACACCTTGGCATAGGCATGCTTGCCTTGCGAATTTACCGTTTAAAATTCGCTTAAAAGCGCACTCTCAGGCCTTATCTTCAATCTGCATCTTACATGTGTATGTATGTATTTCATTCTCTCTCTCTCCCCCCCCTTTCACTTCAAGGTGTTCTTTAAATAGACGTAAGCCAGCACTCAATGCGGTTTGGGTCTCTGCATTTATGTACCTAGAAATTTACTACGCAATTGAAAAACGCAAAAAGGAGACTTATAAACGTAAGCACTGCGAGGTCTTCTGTTGCGCTTTCCTTTCCTTTCCTTTCCGCTCCCCTCCATCCCCTCGATTGCCTTGCACTCCTTGCATTGCTGGGTCCTCGAGGCAGCCTTGAATGTCGCAGCGGCAGAAGAAATACATACTATGTACACTGTACATACATTCATACATATGAACGCTTGTGAATGCTTGCAAACAACGGAATCAACACTCAAGACAAATACTACTCGCACAATGCAATGGCGAAGGAGAAGCTTTATAAAAGAGCAACAGGGAAATGGTAAACATGTTTAGCCTGAATGCAGAACTGTTTTGGATATTCAGCTATTCGATATGTGCTTTAATATGGGTATTTACTTGTGTGCCCCCTGAAGATTTACATATCGCTGTACGGTAGCTTTCAGTTTCTTTTCGAGCAGCCCTCGTCGCAGTGTCATACACAGTGCCCTTCTCTTCTTCCCGCTCTCTATACTCACTCACGATTAGGCATTGTTTCTGCTCCTCTTGCGTGAGTGTTCTGGGGGTCTGGGGGTTCGGGGTGCTCTGGGGTGCTCTGGGGGTCTGGGTCTTCTGCTCTTTGTTTTGCTGACATTTGGCGCGCGCTTTATTTTTATGCACTTAGCACGCGACGCTACACCCGACGACAGCTAATAGAAATCCCCCATTATCGCATCTATTGTGCGAGTATCTCGACCCCTCGCACTTGTATCCGTGCTTCGTATCTGTGTGCATACATATCTAAAGCTGCATCTATCCCTCTGCGTATGTGTATGATGTGTGATAGGTGACCGAGGGGAGTATTGCCGATGAGGCTGGATTGCGGGTGGAGGACATCATTGTGCGCATCAATGACACCGCTGCCATGCCCCTCACCCATGACGAGGCCCACCGCCTCATAATGAACAGTGGCAGCGTCTTCTACTTTGGCGTCTACCGGTGAGAGCATCCTCTTTGGGGACCATAACCATTTATCAAAACTCTTTTTGGGGGATATTCCTTCTTCTCCTTCTTGCAGCGAGCTCGAGGAGGATGTGTACGAGTGCCCCAAGCGGTTTCCCACCAGCGAGAGTTCGTTGACCAAGTCCCCCACTCCTACACCGCCGCTGTCACTGTCTCCGACTCCGTCGCTGCTCCGGCTGGCGGAAGCCGCAAATGCTCGCACTCCGGAACTCTGGTCGGAGCCCGTTCCCCCTGTGGCGGAGGAACGTCGCCAAGCCATGTCGGAAGTGCATTCGGAAGACAATCGCGAGGATGGAGGAGCCCGTGCCGGAGCCGGAGCTGGAGCCGGAGCCCTGCCAGAAGAAGCTCCCAACGACGGGCGGCTGTATTTGCCCGAATTACCCGATCGTCCGTGTTCGGCGCTGTCAGAGCGGGCGGAAATTAAGCTGGTGGAGGAGGAAATTGCCGCCGTGCTGTCCGGCGAGACGGAGGTGCTCAAGGAGCACAGTGTCCTGGGGTGCGTTCCATAACACATAACACCAATCCCCACTACGTGGAGTGGCTGTAGGAGTGCTTTAACCAGTGCTTTCTATATGATAGCGTCAATTTCTACAGGCTCTTCCCCAAGCCGGGCGTCTGCATGGCCAGCGATGTGCTGCGTTCCCTCAACGAGGAGGTGACCAAGACGAAACTGGAGAAGGACAAGGAGAACCGCAAGTGGTCCACCTTCCTGCAGCGGCCCGACCGTCCAGTGCCCAAGAGCAAGCAGCAGCTGGAGGCCGAGCGTCGGGCGGCCAATGCCTACAAGGTGACAATTGTCAGGTCCGCGCCCCGCGGCACCTCTCCCATGGTGAGTGTGTGCATCCTCCCATGGATGTCTGACTCTGTGTCTGTCTCTGGGGCTGTGTGTGTGGATCAGAGGTTAATTTTCTTCATGTGACAGCCGGAAACTAAGCCGGCGCCAAAGGAAGCGACGCCGCCAGAGCCAGAGCCAGTCAAGGAGGAGGAGCCGCCCAAAGACGAGGAGAAGCAGAAGGAGGAGGAGGAGCCACTGCCCACCGACAGCGAAGTGCCGAATTTGGAACAGTTGCCGGGTAGTGACCCGCAGGAGCAGGGGGAGGAGCAGCAGGAGAAGGCCGATGCCCCAAAGGAGGTTTCCGACGGCCTAACCGAGGCGGAAGCACCGCCTGTGGCTAGCGATGAGTCCACTGAGCCGGGCTCCCCGTCTGGTGGTGGTGGTGCTGCTGCTGCTGCTGCTGCTGCTGCTGCAGCTGAAACTGAAACACCTGCATCCCCTGCATCTCCGCCTGCCCCTGTCCCAGTCACACCACCCAAAACCGAGGAGGAACAAGCCCTGGAGCGGCAGCTGGCCGATGTGCAGAAGCAGTTAGCCGCACTCTCCACTTTGCCCTCGACCATACAGTCAACGCTGGACGCGGTGACCAAGCAGTTGGCCGACCTGCTGCCCACATTCAAGCTCCAGCAGCAGCCGCAGTCCATGCCACAAATCGATGAAGGCCTGGGCGAGGAGGGAGAGGCCGACGGGGATGGGAAGCCCGGATCCCAAACGGCCTCAGGCGAAATGGAGGATGCAGGTGCAAAAAACTATGGCCCCGGTCGACAGTAATTAAATTTTTCTAATGGCGCACTTTGCGTATATCCTATCCTTTCTCCCTTCGGTTAAACCCGTAACCCGCATCCTGCGTCCTGGATGCTGGATACTGGATACTGGATACTACTGCTGGACTCTGAATCTCTTGCACCACCGTAGGCAAAGCCGTATCCATATCTGGGGCCGACAAGCCACTGGGGCCATGTGAAAATAATGAGGATAGATGCGATGCCAATGACCTGGAAGTGGCGGAAATTTCGCGCTCAACTGACGACAATCGCCAGGCGGACCAGAAGGCCGGAAAAACTCATGAACGAGAGCGGGAACGGGAACAGGAACAGGAGCTCAGCGAGGAGCAGAGCTTCAAGAAGCAGAAGGTGAGTGCCTGGTATGGGCTGTGGGCGGTGAGCGGTGGGCGGTGGGCGTTGGGCGGTGGGTGAACAACGGACGCAAGGACATGGCCTTGGAGCTATGGAGAAGAAGTTAATGTAATTAGTCTGTCATGAGTGCTGGAGTCCGGCTTCCGAGTCCGAGTCCGAGCAACCTTTAATAACATTAGTGTCCCCCGGTCTGGTCTGATCTGTCCGTTGCGCTGCTCTACCTGGGATTCAGATTCCTCTACAGGCAGCCCTTAGCTGTTGTGGGAGATGTGGTAGATGCGGTAGATGCGGTAGATACGGGATAGTATATCATTGTTTGCTTAATGGAAATGCTAGGGAAATGTGTATTCAAGCTGGAGATGCAAGAAGGGGAACGTATGCAAACGGGAGCTTCATTACTTT